AGTCTCACTTACACTAGGATTCCTAATACCGGTTTCCTTGATAAGGCGGAAAAGTTGTCTACTGTTGCCGATCGCCGCTGCCTTTTCCATCGCTTTTGCTTTCGCCACCCACCACTGTTCACGATCGTTACGTAGGCTTTTTATAAGTCTGCGCCTAAGTTGACTTCGTTCTTCATCATGTTCAGAGCCAGGTTGGATGAGTTTTCGAACATCCATCAGATCGGTGGATGCTCCTGAGATCCACGGTTTCATTCTAGCCTTATGGTCAACCTTACTAGCAGACATCACTGCTGTTTCCACAGCCTTTTTGATATTATTCCATCCTGCTTCCGGATGGGAATCGCTTAAATGGTCGCCTAACTGTCTTTCTAGTTGTTCCTGAAATATATTTTTCGCCTTATTATCATTAAGTAAAACCCTGAGAGGCTTTCTTACGGTGTCTTTCCTACGCCCAGTAAGGTTCAAACAAATACGCGCTCGCACTAGGGCATGATCTGAATCTAGACATGTGCCCCAGAACGAGCGACAGTCTTCTATCGAACCCCTCCATCGGTGGCTGATGGCGATGTGATCTTGTTGAGTCCAACGTTGAGACGACTTTGGAAGTCGCCAGGTCAACAGATGCTTTTCCTTATGCCTAAAGTTAGTGTTTGCTAAGAATAGGCGGTTTTCTGAGCATGCTTGCAACAGACGGTCACCATTGTCTGTTCTCTGAGCCGCGACACCATAACATCCACCTAGGTGTCTCTCCTGCTCACTTAGTCTACCTACTTGAGCATTAAAGTCACCAGCCATTATTACTATATCAGAGCGCCTAGCTTTTGGAGGAGGTCCGAAAGCTTTCTGTAAAACTCATCTTTAACCTCGTCTGTACTGCATTCAGTGGGGGCATAGGCAGGCAGATATGACGAAGAGGCAACGGCGAGTGTCCCTATCCTTACGAGTCCTTACTGTCCCGTTTAGTCTATCTATTGGGATCCAGTCAAGGAGAGATTGTTCTGCCCTACGACTCAATGCTATGCCTACGCCAGCAAGACCCCGGGAAGCAGCATCAGGGCTACCGGATACACGAAGAGTAAATCGAGCTGCTTCTTTATTTTGACAAGGTGAAATCAGATTAATGACTTTACTAGGATCCTGTATGCGCGTTTCCGAGACGCAGCATATATCGGTTGAGCGAGATTCTAAAGTCCTAGCTAAGGAAGCCTGTTGCCCTATTTGACACAATGTCCGTACATTAAATGCTCCAACATGTAGTCTAGAGCGAGGTTTAAGGAGACCAGGAACGACGTTTCGCGAACTCGTATCGTCTGCATTAGCTGTGCACTGTGATAAAGGAATGTGAGAAGAGTTAGTCGTGGAGATAAATAGGTACTATGGGGTGTAGGAAGGATTTGATTTTGACCAATTTGGTCTCGCGTGCTGTTATGGGTATGAGGGCGGTTGTCACTTCCTGGCTGCCCACACCGTGGAAGGTTGTTTCTTGAGGAACCTGAAAAGGAAGATAGATTAGTGTTGGTGCGTGACCGCAGAGCCCAAGGGACAACTGCTTGAGGCCGGTCACGCACGGCCTTTTTATCAAAGGTTTTGTGAGGATTAGCTCCGTTCTTAAAGGCCCTTAGTGGGCACCCTTACTCCTGGAGACGGAAATCCGTGAGGTAGGGGAGGTGTGACATTTTTAGGGTCGACCTTTTCTAACCCTTCCTTCCTTGTGAGAAGGCAGCATCGCTGCAGATGCTGGTTGTCCGAGGGAAACACCTTACTGCTGTCACACCCCTCTGCAGTCAGCAGTACGACTTCGCCCTCAGACCTTGGGTAGCTGCTTTTAGTCTCATCGTTCTCCAATCGACCTGTCTGGCATGGCAGAACCTTGAGGAACATATATTCCAGCCAGTATAGCTCGGTTGGGTCATCACGATAGGCAAGCCCGACCACCACGTCAAGGTAGCAGCTACGGTCGGGAACATATGATCCATCTGTTCTATGATCAAATTCTAGCTTCACATGAACTGCTATGTTTTTTCATATCGAATATTAATACATGCATACAAACGAAAACCATAAATTAACAGCATAAACTATTTTACACATTTGAAATCATCAATCAATCATTGTTAGACCACCATTAGAAACCTGAAAGCAGTAGACGGCCGTTTCGTCCTAGTAAGGGACTCATCAGCAGTGCGCACCCATACCAGGACGAAACGGCCGTCCAGTGCTTCCAGGTTTCTAATGGTGGTCTAACAATGATTGATTGATGATTTCAAATGTGTAAAAACGCAAACCTCCAAAACTGTGCCCCCCCCCAAAAAATAACTGGACAAAACAAGTAAACATGTAAAGTTAGAAAAAAGAAAATTTTGAATAGAGAAAACATTCCTTTACAATTAGCTTTTCGTCATGGCTTTAAGCATTGAAATATGGATAGTAATATGATGAGTTTATAAAATTCAATTACTCCTACAGAGCTAGTTACAGAGGGAGTAGAATTTAGCACGTCTTTCATCGAACTACAAAACACCATCCGGTCTGATTAAGCAAAAGATAACTAAGGGTGATTAACAGTTCTATTCTCGACAGCCTGATAGCTTGAGGATATGAGGTTGACTTTACTAGTCTCTAAAGTTATACACCATAATTCATTATATTGATTGCACAGATTACGGGTTCACTTCTTCCAAAAAACACCGGATCCATCGCAATCCACAGTCAAAAGCACAAACTTACTACGTAATACAAATTTGACCGAACTCATTTCTCTCCCTTCCTTATCGACATAACTCATACAGGAGAAAGTCCACATTCACAAACACTTTCTTCAACATTTCATCAATCTTAAGATTATATATTTGAATTCCTTATTACATAACTTTCCTTATCAATAGATCTCCTGTCAACAGTTTCATCAAATCTCACTTTCCTACATACGTTCACCTTTTACCTCCTAATGGAACATAGGACGACGACAAGCATTCTTCAACCTACTCTGTCTTACACCCTCCTTTCTAGTTCTACCCAATTCTTATTCATTCATTTCATGTCTGTCTGCATTTCTCGGTGCGGTGTGTTCGGTTCGCCTTGAAGACTCCAAATTAGGTCTTGCCTCGTGATGCAGTTTAGTAATTTTGGTAATGTATATCCTATCCACCTAAAAAAGCTTTTCCTAAATTCTTCCCAACCTGGAATGTGATTTTTTCAATCCCGCAGTAGGTTGGTGCTGACAGTGGCTCGCATAGGTTGACAGTTGTTTTGAGTTCCAGATGTTAGTCAATTGTAGAAATGCTATCCGTGCTTTGCCAATCCAATATCTTTATATCTGAAAGAGATCCGCCTTATCCACTAATGCTGCTGCCCAGGTATGTAAGGGTTTTTACATCTCCCAAAGCTTCTCCGTCAAATGTGATTGGGTTGGTGCATGTTGCGTTGTATCGGAGGATCTCGCTTTCACACTCGTGTATGTTGAGTTGGACCTTCTGTTGCAGCAGCTGTCGCTACACTCGACGTTTTCACTTGCATTTGGTGTTGCGTGCGCGGTTGAAGAGTTAAATCATCTGTAACATACAGGTCATCCAGCTGCATCCTCGCTTCCACTGTATCTCGTGTTACCCCTCTGATTTTGAACTCTTCATAATCCAGTCGATCAACTGGAGAAATGGAAAGCATCAGAGTAGGTAATATTGTCCAACACCGGTCTTCACTTCGAACGAGTCTGTTAGTTGTCATCCATGAATAATTTCGCAGTGTAATCCACTATAAGAATTCCGCACGATGTTGACTATCTTCTCGGGAACGCTATCAAATGCTTTCTCGTAGTCAATGAAGTTGACGTAGAGTGTCGAATCCCATTCAATTCATTGTTCCACAATGATTCGTTATGTTGCGATTTGGTCGGTACACGATCGATCCTTACGAAATCCAGTCTGTCGATCTCGAAGTTGGGCATCTACAAAGTCCTTCATTCCGTTTAACAACACCCTGTTGTCAGGTATTGAGAGAAGCGTGAGGCCTGTAGTTCTCACACTTGTTCAGATCGCCGTTCTTCGGTATTTCAATGAGGTGTCCTTCTTTCCAGTCTGATGGTACTTGTTCTTCATCCCAAATCTTGTTGAAGAGAATGTGAAGTACTTTTGCAGTTGCTTCCACGTCTGCTTTCATCGATTCTGCTGGAATGTCGTCTGGTTCCGCTACCTTGCCGCTCTTAATTCGTCTTATGGCCATATTGATCTCTTCAATTTTGGTCGGCCAACATCGACTGTGAGGTCCGGAGATGCTTGTTCGATGTTGAGTGGGTTCAGTGGAGCTGGTCGATTCAAGAGTTCCTGAAAGTGCTCTACCCACCTGTTTCGCTGTTCTTCAATGTGAGGTGTGACGTTTTTAGGGTCGACCTTTTCTAACCCTTTCTTCCTTGTGAGAAGGCAGCATCGCTGCGGATGCTGGGTGATCAAGGGAAACGCCTTATTGCTGTCACACCCCTCTGCAGTTAGCAGCACGACTTCGCCCTCAGACCTTGGGTAGCTGCTTTTATTCTCATCGTTCTCCAATCGACCTGCCTGGCATGGTAGAACCTTCAGGAACATATGATTCAGACAATATAGCTCGGTTGGGTCATCACGATAGGCAAGCCCGACTATCACGTCAAGGTAGCAGCTACGGTCGGGTCAGCTGGGCTAGGGACCAGCAATAACCACAGAAAAGCTCCAGGAGGAACTGCTTCATTAAATACACTAACATTCCCAATTTTCCACTCACTACTTAATATCTTTGAATATTTATTCATCTTTTCCAACCTATCTTCTAATAGTTTTCTTAAGTATTCCAAAAACATTTGAATTTGAAAATATTATCACCATTTGGCTTGCATATTTTATGATTACTGTTAAAGATCCATATTAAATGTAAAGCCATGAGGAAAAACTAACTCAAAATGAATATTTCTTCATCCCATTTATCCTACTATCACGTGTAGGAATAAGAATTTCAATCACAATTTTGAAATTTACCCGACAATTTCCATCTTCATTAGCCAATAATTTGATAGTCTCAGTAAGTAAATGCTCACTCAAATTGATTGCACGTGGATTAATAAATATGATATAATCTAAATTAGCTCTTAATGCAGTTTGTAGACCAACTTCCAGCAAGCTTGAGCAATCTTCTTTCTAAGGGAATAGAAAGCAAAGACGAAAAGTCTGATAAATTCGATTCGATGTTGAGATAATTCTCGACTATTCTACATCGTTCAAACAAATAGAGAATTTCAAGAGGTATAACTAGTTATTCTGTAAAAAAAAACATTCAAAAATGTAATTTAGTAACAAAATTCAACAAATTTTACTAGATGCAGTTACTAATGTCCAACATGAATTCCTTTAATTGAAATGTTGTTTAATTTGTTACATTGATCTAGTCTTTGTTTAAGTTGACTCTGGGAAGCTAGTTTTAGCCGGCGGGAGTAACTATGACTCTCTTAAGGTAGCCAAATGCCTCGTCATCTAATTGAAGGGATATACTTAGTTGACGCGCATAAATGGAGCCTTTTGGGGTTATGGGGGCGACAACCTCTTCGTGGTCCCGCCAGGCAACGTAGCGGTGGCAACATCGCTGCGGCTAAAAGTCGTTCCGATCGCTGGGGATTCCGTGCTTTCCATGGTCCGGATAATTGGCACGCTCATGGTCGCAAGGCTGTGGATGCGTCTGACCAGTCTGGGGGATTAAGACTGAACGACTCTAGGTCCGAATCCCGTCCTTAAGCGTAGGTAAATTCCCGAAAGGGATGTAGTAGGATGATCGAGGGCGGCCCTGGACCCTATGTTCGGGGCAGCAGCCGCAGACATCCTGGACTACTGACGCCGACCCTATGTGGTTGTCCCTTACATGCTTCACCCGATGTTGTGTGTGAACTGGCGTCGAGGCCCCTTAAACAAGGGTCTCAAGTTGGGTTCCGGTGCTTCAGTGCTGAAAAGGGTACTGAACACCAATGATGTCAGCCCACTTCTGTGGGATGAACCCTGCTTGGCTGAGCGCTTGCGTTTGGTCGAGTCTATGACATCTTCCTCATGGAAGGGTGTACGTTCTAGCTGACCTTGTGGGACAAACTCGATCTTTAGCTTAATGCGGGGTAAGATGGGCCTCGATCGATTGTATCAACGCAAGGCAGTTGGAGGCCAGACGGTTGGAATGGCTGCTGGTTAGCGCACTGCTTGGGTGGCTCGGTAACTTGCTACGGGGTCCCTTGTCCGGAAGGATAAGCCCGCCTTGCCGCCCTCGCCGATTGGGGATTGTGAGCTGTGGTTTGGTTGGTGGGATTTCTTGATTCATAAGTGCCCGTGCAGGGGCCACTGCTCGTGTGCGTGCTTTCTGGATGTCCGATGTGTCTGCAGACCAAACCGGACAACATGTATGTACCCGAAAGGGGCAGGGGTCAGTACTGTTGGCAACAGTGAGTATCCTTGCGCTGTATATCAACGCAGCGATGTGCATGTGCATCAGGCATGTTGGTTGACCATGAATATAATTTAGCCTCATACTTTAAGATATTTAAAGCTTTCCCCGCCATTAACGACTAGCCTGTTACAGACCAACTCAAGTTATATGGAAACAATGATCGCTTGGTCAAATAATTAAATTCTTTTCTCAGTTATCAACATCAAATAGTTAAAATAAATTAGTCTATACTGGATTATAACTCAGTTACAAGTGATGTAATACAATGTAGTTTTTTAGACCTTTTGATCATTACTACCTACATAACTGATACATATACATGATTTGATACGGGTAAACGTTTTCTGCATCCAGATGACCTGAAGGTAGTGCATTCATTTTCCGCTCCCAACCTTACCTGCATTCAACACTGCATCAGAACGAAGTCCAACAACTTCACCATATGATGTTCAAAATGGAATTCGGAACTCAATACTGATAAAAACATGTTTGGATTTACTTCAAAAATCATCTCAATTAAGATTTCTTCACAAATACTCAGGAGCTATCTAGGTTTTATTCAGTAGTGGACTTGGACTCAGATACTTCTATGATTTGTCCTCTTCAGATCGAATCTTAGAACAGATACGTAAGTCCGGTAGACTTCTAGGTTACATACTGAATTACCCCAACAACAGTGATTCAAGCACTTTATTGTACAAAGTATATATTCAACCGCTCTTAGGATACTGTGCTTTTATTTTGCGTAATGATCACATTAACGATAAACTAAAATGGGGATTTTTTGAACGTCCCTTTACACGTTGTGTTCTTCGATGTGATAATACTATAGACAATGAATCCGGATACATTTACCTAGGATTCGATTTTTTATGAAAACGATCACTTAAACCAAATCTAATATTTGTTTCTAGGTTACTAAACACAAATCTTTCACATCCAGCAATACAAACCAGTTTGGAGAATTATCGTGTTACAATCTTCGTAACTCAGTATCTGATGTACAGTATTTTCGTTCTAAGCTCACTTGCCATAAGAAATTTTTAAGAATCTGGAAAATCTTGATCGAATAATTATTGTGGCCCCCGTACTTTAATTTTTTATACCCTAAACGGCTGGTTTGGGCAGAAATGCATTTTTCTAGATCCTTGTAAGTTGTGGTGTTCCAAAGTATGTATCTATTCACGTGCCTTTTTTTAGTAAATCGGATAGTATTATAGTAGATTAGTCCTCTCTCTCTCTCGCTTGCTAGCCTATGTGATGATAATTGAACTCACGTGCTACTAGTTTCACTGTTAACGAGATAGCTTGTAGCATCAAGGCTTTTAAACTAGACTGACACGAAATCACTTCCTGTGTATTAGTGGCAGATGGTTCAAGGACGTAAGAGAACAACACTCTGTGGTGGCTAATAACACAACTTGATTGTGTAAAGTGCAGTAGGTGAAGCGAGTTTTGAACCTGACACCCAGCGGCTAAAAGCAAAACGCTTTACCTACGGTTGGTTAAAAAAAAACTAAAATAAAGTACACTATATAAGAATACTCACCTGAGAAGAAATATACTGAAACTTCGAAAGTAATTTGCTTCTTAGAGTAGAAGTATGATTAACAGGAATTAAATTTCGGAGACTATATGAAACCAGATGACTGTAAAACCGACCGTAAGAGCAATAAACACGAGGATCTTCCAAGTTATGTTTATGACTTAAGTTACGTCGAGTAGATGACAGAATACAGGTGTATGCATCTGATTCTTTAATCTTTAGAAAATAGTATGAAATATGCATGTACAAATATGACGACGAATAAATAGAAAGTTAATAATTTTACTTTGAATACAAAGAAGAAATAATGAGATATTTCTGGTAAGAAATCATTAAACAAAAATCAACAAAAAAGACTAATACAATGGATGCACAACCGTATCTTGGCAACAACAAGCCGAATTCGATCAGTTTTATTTTCACCCTAAGCAAATCGAAAGATGGTGAACGAGGGAGTAAAAAACATGTACGTTCTATCAATGTTCTATCCCGAATAAACTGGAATCACACCTCTCACATGTTACCATCAAAATGGAGACGTTCAATAAGGTGATTCAAACTTCATAAATACCGTAAGTGCACTATATCCTTTTAAGCGGTGAGGATTTTTACACCTAGTATTTCATATTCGGTGCTAATGACCGGGACAAACGATTTACAAATAACTTCGGTCTTAATAAGAAGTAGATAACGTGCTAGTTACGACAATGAAAACATAAGCCCTCAAGGTCTGAGGGCGAAGTCGTGCTGCTGACTGCAGAGGGGTGTGACAGCATCACGGTGTTTCCCTTGATCAACCAGCATCTGCAGCGATGCTGCCTTCTCACAAGGAAGAAAGGGTTAGAAATGGTCGACCCTAAAATTGTCACACCTCACCTTACCTCACGGATTTCCGTTTCTGTTGGTAAAGGACTGCCCAATAAGGGCTTTCAAGAGCGGAGCTAATACTCAAAAAACCCTTCATAAAAATGCTGTGCGTGACCGACCTCAAGCAGTTGTCCCTTGGGCTCTGCGATCACGCTACCAAGTCTATCAGACCGACACTAATCTACCCTCCTTTTCAGGTACCTCAAGAAACACCCTTCCACGGTGTGGGCAACCGGGAAGTGACAACCTCCCTCATACCCATAACAGTACGCGAGATCAAATTGGCCAAAATCAAGTCCTTCCTACACCCACTAATATCTTTCTTATCTCCACGACTTACTCTTCTCACATTCCTTTATCACATTGCACCGCTATTCCAAACGATGCGAGTTCACGAAAAGTTATTCCTGGTCTCTCGAAACCTCGTTCTACATTATATGTTGGAGCATTCATTGTCCGGACATTGCGACGAATAAGGCAACATACTTCCTAAGCTAGGACTTAAGAATCTCGCACCAAAAGATACGCTTACTAACTTAGAATATGCGGATGACATAGTTCTATTCGGTGAAGACGCTCATAAAATGCAATCTTCTGACCACCTTGAGCAACAATACAAGCATGTTCGGGATATGTTTTTCCCCCTCAAAATGCAAAAAGTTGCTTCAAGATTGGGTTGCATCGGCACTCGAACTATTGATAGGGAATGAAGTAGTCTAGCGTGTTGACCGCTTCACTTATCTAGTGAGTCTCATCAGTGCTGATGGCCTGGTGACTGACGAAATCTCAGCTCGGATACAGAAGTCTCGATTGGCTTTTGCAAACCTTCGTCATTAACGTCGCAGGTGAGATATCCGTTTTCCGACTAAAGGACGAGTGTACTGCGCAGCATTTCGCTCCGTTCTCCTATATGGTTGTGAAACACGGCCGGTAAGAATAGAAGATATTCGTAGGTTACTAGTATTTGATCATAGATGTCTTAGAAGCATTGCTCGTATATCCTGGGACAACGGAGTAAGCAATGCTGTCGTTAGAAAGCGAGTACTAGGTGGGGATGGCAAATCAATAAATGAAGTATTGAAACTTAATCAGTTAAGTTGGTTGGGACATGTATGCTTAACCACCGACTACCTCGTCGAGTGATGTTTTGTGGTGTAGGAGTAGGTTGGAAGAAAGTTAGGGGCGGCCAGGCCAAAACATGGCACAAATCCATAAAGTCACTGACAAGTGGACTGAGTCATGTTGGTAGATGTAGGCTACCTGATTGGGGTCAGCGAGACGAAAGTCGCCGGTGGTTAGAGACCTTGAATGACATGGCTCAAAATCGTTTGCAAAGGCGCAGGTGCGTCCACTCTTTGTGTTTTCTCGACTTGTAATCTTCTGGATTCGTCAACACATCTACCGTCGTCTTTCGATACTTATCTCAATTATACTTCTTCAATAATATATTGGAACCCTAATCTTCTCCTTTACCAGTAGTACTTCTACTATCTCTACCACTATGGAATTTGAATTGACAATCGCGTCTCTGTGCTAGTGTGGTATGGCAACATGAACTGATGTACTTACGCACCAAGTTCTACGTTGCAGCTGACTAAGCTTTTATTTATTGCGCTCTTGAAATTTGCATTATCTTATGAACTGTCAAAACTGAGTCCTTATATGTATAAAAGTAACCTCTTAGAAACACTCCCCACACATTATTCGCTTACTGTGATCTAATATCGGAAAATTATAATAGTATAATTATTTAAATTGTATACTATCTGTTGAGAATATGAACAAGGGGGTAATGTTTTGGCTCGTTGATAAATAGCATTAAAAAATATTTGCATGTTTATAAGCATAGATTGGGGAAAATTAAGGCATGAATAGATTCTATGATGACTTAACCACATACCTTACCGTGATTTTTCGCAAGGTGAGGTTTCGAGTGGTTACGATTTGGCAGGACGTTAAACCATTTGTTGAGATTATATATACTATCCCTTGTATTACTGTACACCAGTATTAAACTTGTATTTCTAGTCGAAATTCCGAGGGCATTCCTTTGAATACAGTTAGCTGCCCAAGAGACTAAAGTATCAATCGTATGTTCACCAAGGACTCTTTCAAATAAGGAAGGATTTTTTAGGGATCTCGATATAGTATCATTTGAACATTCATCTGCATAACCTGGATTTTGAACGTAATGCTGAGTAATCACCACAATTCCAAGTTTGCTAACATAACTAACTGGTTTCCAACTGTCTTCGTTAAAAGTACCTTAATAAAAAAAATTATGAGGCACAACCAATTTTAGGTTACGTCTTAACGCTAATCGTGCTTTTAACCCACTGAAAATTTTTCTGTAGAATGAAGTGACGATATAAAAGAGGTTGCTAGTAACCTTTAGCAATATAATGACGAGAAGTCTAAAGAGGAGTAAAATGCAGGACATTGAGCGTTGGAAATTGTTAAATTGGCACCATCGGGTGAAGGTCAACTCCAATATCCAATATCTTTTTCACGAGCTAGTATGAACCAGTTGTTTCTTTGCGTTCGATTCTTGTTCTTTCGGTACAGTTCCAGGTTTTCGGTAGTGTCCAATGAATGGGGTCTAGCCACTCAACTGTCTAATTCTAGTCAGTTGGCAGTTGGTTGTGAGTTTGCATGTCTCGGGATTTAAATGAAAACGTTTGTTTCAGGGCAGTAGGGTTTCTGGATACCAGCAGCTATCACATTACCAGATCAGTTAGTTGCAGCGTGGAGAGTAATATGGATAATAAGGATAAAATTCTAATGCTAATATGAATAAAATTTCAGGACTAAGTAACATATAGATGATTTAGTTCATTAATTGGTAGTGAAGATTGTGAAGTGTAAGCACGGGAGAGGAAACAGAGATTAGAGGCCAGATAGATTAACTGAGTGATGCTCATGTTGGGATGATTCTATGTACTTGATATGTTGTACGCCATAATCAGATCACCTCTGATTCTCCTGTAGCTCAGTGGAAATAATCCCAAGTGCTGGAGTCTATCATCGTAAGCCTTATTTTTCAACCCTATCACCCATTTGGTTACTCGTCTCAGCACTGGATCCAAGGGATTAATGTCTGTTTTAACCAGAGGGGTGCGATGACCTTGTGAAACTCCAGAAGTGGGCGCGCATACGTATTAAATAGTGTTAAAAATCATTCTGGAGTGATAGCTCCAAGTTGTCTTCGCATAAATCGAAGAGTCGCATTTGCCTTGGGTGCGTCCCCTACATAGTTCGGACTCGGGTGGAGGCTTTCTGTGGTTATTTAACCGAGATCGCGCTCTGAGGAGACATACAATATCTTATTTCACGAGTTGGTACTAAAAAACTGCTTGCTTTACTCTCGATTCATGTTCTTTTTGTACGGTTCCAGGTATTTAGTAGTGTGGAATGAATAGGGGTCTAGCCACTTGACTGCCTAATTCTGGTCACTTAGTAGTTGTTTGTGAGTTTATATGTCCCGTTATTTAGGTGAGTCCATTTATCTCAGGGCAGTAGGGTTTCTGAATATCAACAGATATCGCATTCTCAGGGTAGAGGTCAGTTGGTTGCAATGTTCGGAATAATAAGGTAAAAAAATCTAACGTTAATGATGGGAGGAAAATTTTAGAACTATGTAAATATTAAAATAGGTTAATCAACTGGTAATGAAGATTGTATGAGAGGACCGAAGCATTCGGAAAGAAGAGGAAACAGGAATAATGACCGAGATGGAATAAGTTGATAATCTGAGAAAATGACGTCGATAACAACTAATAATTTTCCGGACATGCATCAGGCGCAGAGAGTTAAAAGAGTGAGACGATAATCCGTATGTGGATACGGCTTTATCAAATCTCTTCTGGAAGCTATCAGCTGAGGAGGCTGTGATCACCTCGGTTGGAAAAGAATTTCAAGCCGCGACAAATTCTAATGACAAAAAGTATGCACTAACCTGAGCGTTCGCTCTTTGATGTGCAATCAAGGGAGGTTAAACTCAAGTGGTAGCGTAATGATGTTTTGGCAAGATGCTCATGTTGGGATGATTCTGTGTATTTCAAATGTTGTATACCACTATCAGACCACCTCTGATTCTCCTATAACACAACGGGAATAGTTGTTACGGGAGAAATGAAGACATTTGGCTGATTAAAACCTTCATATAAATATCACTAATTTCACTATTTTTGGGGTATATTTGTTTTGATTAACTTATGAACTTGTTTGATTTATTATTTTCGGAAGTTTTGGTTTCTGTTAGTCTTGGTTTGCTAATTGGGAGTTTTTGCTCCAGGAACCTATAAAATTGAAGGTTACTTATCCACCTGGTAAGTCTGAACCCACCTTTTCTGAGTAGTAAACCAAGGGTTTTCGCAAGCTTGATTGCATCCTGCACATTATCAACTGAAGTTAAATAGTCGTCGACATGGAAACTCTTATCTACAACTTCCTGGACATCTTTATTCAATTCCTTTCCGAATATATCTACCGTCTTCCGAAGAGCGAAATTAGCGCAAAAGGGAGAGGACACGGCTCCAAACGGATGAACTGTCAAACAGTATTCTTTAGCCTTTCGTCCTATATCACCATCTTCCCACCATAATAGTCGAAACGCTCCCCTATCTCGTCTCGGGATCTTTACTTGAAGGAACATTTCCTCGATGTCAGCGGCTAATGCTACGTTGCATAATCTGAATCGTAGAAGTATACCAATTAAACTATTTACAGTATTTGGTCCTCTCAAAAGCTGATCGTTAAGAGAACAACCTTGATAGACAGCTGCACAATCAAAAACAATTCTTGATTTTCCAGGCTTTTTAGGGTTGATAACAGGATGATGAGGAATATACCAAAAAACAGCATCACGTTCGAATTCCTCCTTACTAGCTTCAATGATGTAGCCTTTACTTAAATGTTTACTCATTACAAGTTGATATTTTTCCAGAAGACTATTATCCTTCATAAACCTCTTCCTTAAACACTCTAGTCTACGTTCAGCTAGTTCCAAATTATTCGGTAGCCTTGGCTTATCATACTTCCAGGGTAGACCAACTTGGAAATGGCCACCTTCCAGTCTAAAGGAACTATTAACTATTTCTAGAGCTCTCTTATCTTCGACAGAATATTCATTACGAAACCCATCTGCATCCTCAAACTCATGATTGTATAATCTTTCTATGTCTCGCAAAATATCATTAGTAGAACAATGACACCACTGGACTTGATGTAAAGTCCTCGATGCTTCTTTAGGACCTAAAATCATCCAACCGAGATGAGTACGCACACCAAACGAATGCTTCCTGTCTCCCAGGCGTTGTTCAAGGACCCAATGTGCATCTGGAGCATCACACCCAATCAATATTCCTACTAGATTACTTTGCAGCCTCGGTAGAGTTATGTCCTTTAAATGTTTCCAGCTTCTCAGTTGGAGTTCAGTTAAAGGTTCTGCATAATCGATCGGAAGTTTCTTGGTCGTATAGGCCTTGTTGATCTTTATAGAACCCCGCTCATCTAATGAAAATACCTCTAAATTTACTTCTAGACATTCACAAGTAGAAGTTCCATTCACAGTCGTCACCTTTATTGAAGTCTCCTTACTTTTGAGACCTAAACGATTAACTAACTCTTCGCATACATTAGAGGTATCTGAACCATTATCTAGAAGAGCGTATGTTTCCAGACATCCTTTGGGGCCATATAGTCTAACCGGAATGATACCCAAACAAACCTTTGAGAATTTCCAATCCTTAGCAAAGTTCACTACATGTTTGTTAGTAGCATCAATATGTAATAATGGATTATGCCGAATCTTACAATTATCAACGTCACATTTTGTGTCCCAGTTACACGACTTGGCTATGTGACCCTTCCTTAAACACAGGTAACATAGACCACGCTTTTTCACTACCTGCCTCCTCTCTGTAACATTCATTTTTGATAACTTCATACAGTCTTTCTCATTGTGATCACCAAAACAAATTTCGCAACTTAAAGCCTTGAATGAGTTGCTTGGTTCCCGCTTAACTACATTAAAGCGTGATCTCCTGTCGACTTGGCCTTCATAATTACCTTTACGGAACTTTGAGTTACAATGTACCAATCTACCAAAACGTGATCGCGCAATCCTGGCTCTTTCTTCTACGAACATCACTAATTCTTCAAATATCGGCTCTCTACCGGTCATCATGATCCTATCAGCAGCTTCCACCCATTTATTCTGTAATTCCAGGGGTAAACGTGGCACAATTATTTCCAGATTAGCCGTAGAATTCACATCAGACATATACCCGATCTCCTTCAAAGTTATACATACATTACGTAACTTAATTGCGAAGTCAGTTAGGACATCGGTGGATCCTTCAACAGATTTGTGGCTAAGTAATTCGGTAATAAGATTACCGGCGACAAGATGTTGTTTGCCAAATAGATCATACAAAATTTGCTTAGCTCTATCGTAACCCAAGTGACTGGGCAAGGAAATACAAGATTCAATAGCCATTCTGGCCTTTCCTTTACAATAATATGACAAATATGACAACAACTGGCCCTTGTCAGACAGTTTACTCTCTATAATGCTTGTAAACGGACTAATAAAACGGTGGTACTGGCTTGGTTGTCCGTCAAAAAACATCATATCGATCTTAGGCAAAACTGTATCATTAACCGTAGCACGTAACATGTTTTTTAATTCATTAATACAATCGAATTTTGAGGTGGTAATTACCTTAACACAAGCAATATCACAATCCAAGCACCTTTCCACCTTAGAATTTATCTCAGATTTGTCCACTGACAGTCGGTTATCGTTTTCCATGACCTTACATTCCAATTCGGCCATATCAACCTTCTCTTGAAGATCTAACATTTTAAGCTGCTTTTCTAACTCAAGTCTCCTTTCCAAATTCTTCTTCTTAATTAATGCCTTATCTAACTTCAATCTAGAAGTACTAAACTGAGATGAAGACTTACTATATTAACACCAATATCGTCACGTTTATCATCAATAAAATCAGACATACCACAGACAGCTTTAGAATCTTTACCATCCATTTCGTCATTTTCCTTCGGCTTTTTGCTTCTGGTTTCCACTGTATGCATTTGTTCGATATTGATTACCAAGCAAATGTGAAATTAATCCAAACGTATTCGACCAATAATAACAAAAATTTCACGCAAATATCCTGGAGCCAAAATGTCTCGGGGTATCCAATGTACGACAAAAGAATCAAAATTGAAGAACTTTTGGACCCAAATGTCCAAAAGTATCCAGTGTATGACCAAAGAACAAAAATTGAAGTGTCCAAAGTATCCAACGACCAAAATAAAATAGAAGAACTTTTTTTACGTCCAATTTTTTGCTCCTTGATCCTTAGAAGCACTGTGTCGATCTATTTGCAATTCACGAACCCAAAGATTATATAAGAACGAAACTCCAAAGTAGGTACCAAAGTTTATTGCCAATTCACAAATAATCGACCAAAATGTTATTTGTTTATTACAAATAGACGACCAATGTCGTTCTAACAACAATAATTATAATAATTACAATTACCTTCTATTTTATAGATTCTTGGAGCAAAAAACTGCAAACGAACAACCAAGACAAACAGGAGTCCAAAATGGCAGAAAATAATAATTCAAACAAGTTCATAAGTTAAGTAAAACAAATATACCCAAAAAACACAGTGAAATTAATGATATTTACATATAAAGGTTTTGATCAGCAAAATGTCTTCATTTCCCCCGTAACACTCCCGACCAAAAGAACCTTGGTTCTTTTCACCTACAAAAATATATAACAACAATCCAAGTATGTGCATCACAAGCAATCAACAACAAACATGCAATATGTCAACAATCTCTGATCCCTAGGACTTACACCAGTACGCCTAGGGATCCGAGTAGCAACCTACCATCTACCGCTTCAAGAAGACACAGTTTACGTATATCTCTCACTCTCTCTCTCTCCCATTCTCGTCCTTAGTTCGACCTGTCTCACTAGTCCGTCCTTACTTGGTATCACTCTCTGTACTAGACCTAAGGGCCACTTGTTTTTCTCAGAGAAGTCAGAACATATCATTACTAAGTCACCTTCTCGTATGTTCCTCTCTAACTGTGTCCACTTGTATCTACGCTGCAACAGCGAAACATATTCCTTAGACCAACGTTTCCAAAATACTTGCGCCAAGTAACTCGCTTGCTTCCATCTCTTAGAATACCTGTCATTAGATACAGTGTTAGTAAATTCTGCAACATTCTCTCTCAATAGTAATAGTTTTGCTGGTGTTATTGCATCAATATCCTTTGAGTCGTCTGTAACGGGGACCAAATGTCGATTGTTTATTATACGCTCCGCCTCTATCATAAAAGTTTCAAGGCATTCATCTGTTAAAATTTGTTCCTTTACAAGAGCACCCAGTACCCCACGTACAGAGCGAATCATACGCTCCCACACTCCTCCCCTATGACTAGCGGCTGGAGGACTGAAATGCCAGTCAATTCCTTTTCTTAGTAAATCAGAGTGTATACGCTCCTGTACCCAACCTTGAAGACATTTTCTTAATTCACGTTCAGCTCCCACCAAATTTGATCCATTATCACTATATATCTCTTTTGGATAACCTCTTCTGCCGACAAATCTCATTAGTGCCATGATAAATGAGTCGGTGGTAAAACTATATGCCACCTCCAGATGCACAGCTCTCAACCTTAAACAAGTGAATACACAACCGTACCGCTTCTCAGTATTTCTACCATGTTTAACCATAAGGGGTCCAAAATAATAATAAGTAAAACAAATATACCCAAAAAACACAGTGAAATTAATGATATTTACATATAAAGGTTTCGATCAGCAAAATGTCTTCATTTCTCCTGTAACATTTGTAGTTATTATAATTATTGTTGTTAGAACGACATTTTGGTCGACTTTTTGTGAATTGCGAATAAATTTTGGTATCTAACATTGGAGTTTGGTTCTGTTGTTAATTTGGGTTCGTGAATTGCAAATAGTTCGACATACTGTACTTCAATAACGGGAAGGAGCAAAACTTGGACGCAACAAAAGTTCTTCAATCTTAATTCTGTTGTCATACATTGGATACCCCGAGACATTTTTGGTCCAATTTTTTGTATTATTGGTCGAATTCGTTTGGATTAATTTCACATTTGCTTGGTAATCAATATCGAACAAATGCATACAGTGGAAACCAGAAGCAAAAAGCCGAAGGAAAATGACGAAATGGATGGTAAAGATTCTAAAGCTGTCTGTGGTATGTCTGATTTTATTGATGATAAACGTGACGATATTGGTGTTAATATAGTAAGTCTTCATCTCAGTTTAGTACTTCTAGATTGAAGTTAGATAAGGCATTAATTAAGAAGAAGAATTTGAAAAAGGAGACTTGAGTTAGAAAAGCAGCTTAAAATGTTAGATCTTCAAGAGAAGGTTGATATGGCCGAATTGGAATGTAAGGTCATGGAAAATGATAACCGACTGTCAGTGGACAAATCTGAGATAAATTCTAAAGTGGAAAGGTACCCAAATCTGTGCAATTGCTAAGTAACTATTTAGGTTCGTGACAAAAAATACCAACGAATCAGGGTATGCTTTCTCTCGAAGGTCCGAATGGGGACATCTCACTAACATAGAGATCGCTGCGACCCTCAACACAAACCTCACAAATCAGTTAAACCAGAGTACCACGTTAATCCAGTGCCAGCTAATGGCTTAGGGAATATCCGTATTACTCCAGACTTAGTTCTAATGAAACTAAAATTACGCTCAGGAAAGTCAAGAGGTTGTGACCATGTTCTCCCCGTAATCTTGAAACAGTGTGTAGAAGTCCTCTGTTCACCGATATGTGAACTGTTCAGGCGTTCGCTAGAGTCACACCAACTCCTAGCTGAGTGTAAACAGGCTACTCTCTATACAATCTTCAAAGGAAGGATATTGGTAGGACCCAGTCTGTTACAGACCAGTCGCATCGCTATCAATACTAAGGGAATTAATGGAAAGTTTCGTACCAAGGTAAATAGAGTGCACGTGAGCTGGGGAATATTCATTTCGAGGATCAACTTAGGTCCACTTCTCTTCGTGATATTTATTAAGATTTTTTAGGCTCATTTAACTCACTAGTATTGATCTATGCAGACGATGCGAAGATCTGGATGTCCATTAGAAGCGAAGAGGATTCGACTGAGCTTCAAAAGGACCTTACATCTATTGAGGAATGGGCAGTGGAAAACGGTTTAAAACTCAACCAAACGAAGTGTCATGTCACGCATATTTTGCCACACACGACGCAAACGATTTTCACCCTCAGTGAAAGTCCGCTCCTTGGTATCTCCTCAGAGCACAATCTCGGTTTAATAACCACAGAAAGACTCCACCCGAACCATATTGCGGACGCAACCAAGGTAAATGTAACTCTACTCTTTCTGCGAAGACAACTTAGTGCTATCAACCCAGAATTATTCCTAACGTTGTTTGAGACATACGCACACACACCTTGAGGTTTACAACGTCATCGCGCCCCCTCTTCTCAAAATAAACGCAAATCTCTTGGATTGAGTGCAGAGACGAGCAACTAAATAGGTGATAGGGTTGAGGGATAAGACTTACTAAGATAGACTCAAGCACTTGGAATTATTCAATTTGAGTTACTGGAGAGTCAAGGGTGATATGATTATGGCGTACAACATATGAGGCCCGCCGACACATCCCAAAGCAAGCATCTTACCAATGTATCACTACCACCTCAAGGGAATCCTCGAAAAATTGAGCATCACAGGGTGAATACTCAGGTCGTGCACACTTTTTCTCATTAAGAGTCGTCGTAACTTGGAATGCTCCCCCAACCGAGGTGACCACAGTCCCATCAGTGGACAGCTTTAAGAAGAGACTTGATAAACACCTACTCACATACGGATCATCATCTCCCTCATGGACAAGTTCTACCTGATGCATGCCTTAAGACGTGCTAGGTGTTATTATTGACACCTTATTATTCGCCACATTGCAACCAACTGATCTCTGGTTTGGTAATATGATAGCTGCTGGCATCCATAAAACCTACTGCCCCGAAACAAACGTATTCATTTCAATCACTGGACATACAAACTCACAAACGACTGCCAAGTGACTAAAATTAGATAGTCGATTGGTTAGACCCCAGTTCATTGGACAGTACCGAATACCTGGAACTGTACCGAAAGGAAAAGAATCGAACGCAAAGAAATCAACTGGTTTATACTAGTTAGGGAAAAATATGTTGGATATATTGGATATTGGACGTAGGTTTCCTTGCGCTTGATTCTTACTCTTCGGTACTATTTCAGGTATTGATTTCTTGTCGTTTACGTTTATCTATTGTATTTGCACTTCTGTTTATGCATATTATCATATTAGCTAGTGACCATCATCCCTTTCTGCTCCTGTATTTTAATCGCTGTTCTTATCATTTTTCACAGTTCAACCAGCCGACTTATTGTCCAGTGATAGGATGACCTTTACTGCCAGACCCCACTCCCAGGATATACACGCACCCACATTTAGAGATGCACCAACCAACAAACAGTCACTGAAATGAACAAATCTATTGTAGGTAAATGAGTAAGTACACTGTTTTTTGTACCATCAACGACAAGTTGCACAGCAATCTTGTTACATTTTGTTAATTACCGTCATATAATGCTGTTGAGAGATTCGCGATTGTAACTTGCATTTGAAAAAGGCTTCTACTTTACCTCTTATTTACCGATTTGAAGTGTTTATTTGTCAGTTGTTGGGAATCCTATCCGACTAGTTCCTATTTTTCTACCTTCAAATTGTCTAGATGTTACACTGTTTTAGTTGCTGTTCACTGTTTTCATTTTTGAAACTTCAGTCTATTCCATGTGCTTACTCAGTAAAACAACAAAGGGGAAATTCGGCAAAAATCGTCCCCTAAACTTGGTATGAATACAGGCGACAATGTATCGAAATCCTCCGTCACCCTAGCCCGGGGTGGGTAGTGAGACTTTTCCGCAAAATGTCATTTTTAGGCTAAATACTATTTTGCTTTGCCTGGGGAGTTGTTAGCTCACTTTCTCTTCATCTAATTTTATCACCCCTCGCCAGCACATAGCTTACCTTTAGGCGGGACGTAAAGCACTACTCATTTTCGGCTAGATGAGCTATTAACTTTCTAAAAAAATTCCGTTCATTTGATGGTACTGCACTGTCCAACCCTTGGTTCACCGTAAAATGCCACCATGTAGTAATGTAAGTGAACCGTTGGTATTTTTGAGCTAGTGTTTATTGCGTAAGTGCATGATCCAACTAGCAGCCAAATGGAAAAAATGCCTGCAACCATGTAAGCCTAAATTGTCTGTGCATATCTCTGTGAGTAAGCTTAATAAGTGGCTATTTGTCGACTTGACGATTACCGTCAAATAAAGATACTTTTTACATACTGGTTTGAATTTGCAGAAATACAGTATGCTTACCTTTTATTTATGCAAACATAAGGTATTGTTGAGTGTTCTAACTACGTGAGTAGTAAACACTTTCAGATTCAGATACTGCTCAACCCATGTACGGTAATAAACTCATACGATCTCAACAAACTTACTCAGACACAAGTACAAAAATATAAACTTCATATCTGAATTGCGCAGGCTAGACCCACATTAACTGGAAACTTTCATACTTGTTGGTAATTCTGTTGACAATAATGGAAAGGGAATTAACTCAGTTCGAAGTTGATTGCAAAAAATTTGTAGATTATTAAAAAGATGTTTTAAACATGATATTCATTTCAAGTAAAAGGTAATAATCATTTGTCTGACAATACATTCCACGTTTTTATTTTCGTTTAGTAAATAACTTATCTTTCTCATTTTTTTACTTTTTTAGAAAGCTTGTGTGGCTAAAAATCATGACTTTATCAAATTTCGAATTATGTCAAGGAGGATTTTTGATGCTCAGGTTCAAATTTCATGTAATCTTTAATTTGCCTCTGGTCTTAATCAAGTCATTTGTGTGACACATATGAAAGAAGACAAGTTGTTTTGCATTTGTGGATTAATAGTCGGAATTGTTTTACTGTTTTACATATTTTCCCCGTATAGTCCGACATGCCTACTTAAGAGTTGCATTCATGAACAGTATAACCGTACAGGTTTTCCGTATGCTGTTCAAACGATAAAAAGAAACAACTGTTTGGTGAGATATACGAAGGATAATGGAAATGAATTATCTGTGCTGGTCTTCGTTCATATTCAGAAAACTGCCGGTACACTTCTAGAACATCGTTTAGTTAAAGATGGTCTAGTGGGCGGAACATGTAACTGTTTCGCCAAGAAGCGCTGTAGTTGTAAAACGCAAAGTGGTGATACTTGGATTGTCAGCAGATATTCTACAGGCTGGTTGTGTGGTCTTCATGCCGATTTAACTGAACTAACGGAATGTATTGATGGTAAACTAAACACAATCGATCATCGTACTATACAAAGAAAGTAAGGGTTTTAACACTTTAACTTTTTTATTATTATTTTGCCCATCGTTCAACCTTTTTTTTTACATTTTCTAGTAGTGGTAAAAGCATAGCTTCTAAAGCGTTTTAAATGACTTTTCAGAAAGCTTGCACACTTTCGTAGTCAACTGGTTATGTTCAATGATAATAGAAACCACAATAAAATCGAGGCTATGGAATACACAGACGATAAATTTAGCTATGGTTCACTGATAGATGTGCAATCATCAGGATTTTGAAAAAGGCATAGCTGCTTCGAAATAAGATTCCTGATGACCAGAGTTCTAGAAACTTCGTAGTAAAAATAAAAGGCTGAATATGTTTTTAATTGCGAAAAAAAACTTTCAAGCTATGTAGACTCAGAGTCATACATCTTATTAGTCAACTATGTTTACTGAAGTTGCAAGTGAGTTATATTTTAACGTTAGAAATAATAAACAGTCTGAAGAGTTCATGTCACACGTTATTCACAGTTAATCAGATACTTCACCTAGAACTGGTTCTCATTCTGTTGATGAACGCTCATATTCTCTAGCTAGATTTCAAATGATATTTGACAGATTGTCTTCTAACGAATAGTCATATTTTATCAGCTTTGAAATTCGCTCAGGAGAAAGCCGAATTTTGTATTTTCTGTATAATGAAAGTTTCTAACTTCAATTTGAAGAAGAATGATCCCTATTATAAGTTTTATCATCATTCATCTATTCTGATTCTCTTTACTTCTTAAACAACGCAAACAAATCAAAGCTATTCATGCTAGACAATACGTAAATTCAGTGAAAGTCAGTCAGTTGCAACGTAGAACTTCGTACGTATGTACATAAGTTCATGTTGCCATACCACAGCACAGAGACGCAAATGTCAAATCAAATCCCATAGTGATAAAGATAGTAGAGGTATTAATGGTAATAAAGAAGACTAGGGTTTAAGATATTATTCAAGGAATATAATTCAGTGAGATAAGGTTAGAAAGACAAAGGTAGAGGTGCTGACGAATCCAGAAGATTAGGATTTGAGAGAGCTCAAAGAATGGATGCACTTGCGCCATTGCAAACGATTTTGAGCCATGTCGTTCAAGGTCTCTAACCATTGGTGACTTTCGTCTCGCGGACCCCAACCGGGTAGTCTACATCTACCGACATGACTCAGTCCACTAGTCAATGACTTCATGGATTTGTGCCATGTTTTGGTCTGGCCGCGCCTAACTTTCTTCCAACCTACTCCAATATCACAAAACATAGCTCGTCGAGGCAGTCGGTGGTTAGGCATTCGTAACACATGTCCCAACCACCTCAAGTGATGAAGTTTCACCACTTCATCTACTGATCTGCCATCCTTACCTAGTACTAGCTTCCTAACGACAGCATTGCTTACTTCGTTGTCCCAGGATATACGAGCAGTGCTTCTTAAACATCTATGATCGAATACTAGTAGCCTACGAACATCTACTCTTAACGGCCATGTTTCACAGCCATATAAGTGAACGGAACGAACTGCTGCGCAGTACACCCATCCTTTGGTTAGCGAACGGATATCACGCCTACGTCATAAGTGACGCAGGTTGGCAAAAGCCAATCGAGCCTTCTGTATCCGAGCTGAGATTTCGTCAGTCACCAGGCCGTCAGCACTGATGAGACTCCCCAGATAAGTGAAGTGATCAACACGCTCGACTACTTCACTCCCAATCACTAGTTCAGGTGCCGTTGCAACCCAGTCTTGAAGCAACATTTTGCAATTCGAGGGTGAGAACCGCATCCCGAACTTGCTCGCGTTGTTGAAATTCAGTGAAAGTTGACAATTATCAAGCTTAACCAGTCACTGTGTTTCTGAATTTACCTTTGGTAAAACGATAAGCGTCCAATGTTTTATAATGGAGGCTATGTAGAATTCAAGTTACATTCGTTTTCAGGTCACAACTACTACATTATGGAAATCATTTTTTGAATGACAATATTTATATTTCAGGAGTTATACTTCAAAAATCCTATCAACTGAAAATTTTTATTCATAACATTGTTTATCATCTCTTTTTCTATTCAGATACATATATTTTACTTTATTACGCGATCCTGTCGACCGTTTTATTAGTGAATGGCAACATATACGTCGTGGTGCTACATGGCATTCATCTACTCTTCGATGTAATAAACAATCTCCACCATTTGAACACTATAAACCTTGTTATTTCAATGAAGAAAAAATGTCCGAAAACATGTGGTCTATTTTATCTATTAGATCTATCATAAATTGTCCTTACAATTTAGCAAGTAATCGTCAAACAAGAATGTTAGCAAATCTTTCTAATTTAGGATGTTATAAATATTTAACAAAATGGTCTCAACCAATCAATACCACAGTATTAACTTCTTATATTCCATCCATTTCATTGGCACTTTTAAATAGTGCTAAATATAATCTTGTCAATGTTATCCATTGTTATGGTCTAAGTGAATATTTAATTTATTCACAATATATTTTACAAAAATGTTTACATATTACTTTTAGGCGTTCATTTATTGAATTCAATAAATTCTCTGCCGCTGCTGCTGTTGCAACAAGACAAAGATTATTACTTACACATGCGACAATAATTCGTTCGAATTTAAATCATACTACATTACAAGAAATACAAGATGCGAATAGGCTAGATATATTTCTATATGATTTTGCTAAACAATTATTTATGTATCGATTAATAAATAATTTATTATTTGATTCAAATATACCAATGCAATTTAGACGACCGTTGCATACTATTTGGTATCATAAAAAAATTCGATCTGCATCATATATAATACCATTAAGTTATTTGTTATTTTCAAATTTTCACATTAACTACGAAGATTCCAATATTACTAGTAATGTTATCTTCTCATTTTCATATCGTCTCAATTTATTTCTTAATAATTTATTTATTCGTAAAGGTAGCATTCCAGCATCTGAGTCTATTTTAGCTAGTGAAGATAAAAAATGGATTGAACGGCTTATGGTTTTAAAATCTAATTTGTAAATTATTTATATATATATATATATTTTTTATTCACCAACCTTACTCTTCACTTCCGCTCAGACTATCTGCATTTCTGTTTTTCTATACCAATGTTCAGTTGTTGTAAAACACTGTTTTATTATTTGAAGTGTATCTTCATAAATTGTTCTAGTGTGACGAATTAAAGAGAGTGAGTGACGAAACGAAGGAAAGCATTTTTTTTTGTGACATTAGTTGGCTTTGGCTTTTATTATTTTAATCAGTCCAGTCAGAGTTTTATTGGAGACATATAATGTCGAAAATTCGATGAAGTAACTCACTCTACAAGTTCTGGAGCATATCCTTACGTGTTTCAGTAGGCTTCACAAAAATTTATGTGCAACTTCTTTTTATTGTACTCAGCTGATATTATTCTTATGGTCAGTCAGTCAGTCAGTTGCAACGTAGAACTTCGTACGTAAGTACATCAGTTCATGTCGCCATACCACATCAGCACAGAGATGTAATTGTCAATTCGAATCTAATAGTAGAAGAGGTAGTAAAGGTATTAGAAGTAATAGGAGAGGTTAGGATTAGAAGATATTATTCAAGAAGTATGATTCAGTGAGAAAAGTTTAGAAAGTCAAAACTAGGGGTGTTGAAGAACCCAAAAGATTAGGATTTGAGAGAACACAAAGAATAAATGCACCGGCGCCATTGCGAACGATTTTGAGCTATTGTAGTCTAGAGCGGGGTTTAAGGAGACCAGGAACGACGTTTCGCGAACTCGCATCGTCTGCATTAGCTGTGCACTGTGATAAAGGAATGTGAGAAGAGTTAGTCGTGGATATAAAGGAGGTACTAGGGGGTGTAAGAAGGATTTCATTTTGACCAATTTGGTCTCTCGTGCTGTTACGGGTATGAGGGCGGTTGTCACTTCCCGGTTGCCCATACGGTGGAAGGTTGTTTCTTGAGGAACCTGAAAAGGAAGATAGATTAGTGTTGGTCTTAGAGACCTGGGTGCATGACCGCAGAGCCCAAGGGACAACTGCTTGAGGCCGGTCACGCACGGCCTTTTTATGAAAGGTTTTGTGAGGATTAGCTCCGTTCATAAAGGCCCTTAGTGGGCACCCTTACCCAAGGAGACGGAAATCCGTGAGGTGTGACATTTTTAGGGTCGACCTTTTCTAACCCTTCCTTCCTTGTGAGAAGGCAGCATCGCTGCAGATGCTGGTTGTCCGAGGAAAACACCGTACTGCTGTCACACCCCTCTGCAGTCAGCAGTACAACTTCGCTCTCAGATCTTGAGTAGCTGCTTTTAGTCTCATCGTTCTCCAATCGACATGTTTGGCATGGTAGGACCTGCAGGAACATAAGTTCCAGCCAATATAGCTTGGTTGGATCATCACGATAGGCAAGCCCGACCACCACGTCAAGGTAGCAGCTACGGTCGAGTATTATTTTAATATTAACAATTAGTTTGTATGATCAGTTAATTTCACTAATCTCCTGGTTTTGGCTGATTAATAATGAATGGTTTTCATATTTTCAAATAATTTTAATAAACTATGAACTGAATATCCCAATTTTTGGCCCTAAGTGCTTGTTTTTACATTTTCTTAGTTATTATGCTTTGCGTTCAGTTAGTTGTCAGTGGATTGACACAAATTTATTTATTTATTGAGTTGGTGATTTATTCAGGTATAATGGTTCGGACTGATATATTCTCGCCGTATTTTCCTATCGGATCTCTTGGCAAAAAGAAGTATTTCTATATCTGTTCAACGTCTTCGTAGGCAGATCATTTATTCAAGCGATTAGAATGGTCCGCCTTACAAGGTCAAATCACTAATAGTCGAACACACACGCATTGTCATCACAAGCTTATATATTAATTAAGTAGCTGAATGTACCAAGAACGTTACTAGGCTGTAAATCAAGTCTAATGTATATCTAATTTTAGAAAAACGGTGGATATTATTTGCTCCTTTCAACGTATTCATTTGACGGGAGAGGAAATTACTAGCTGTTGAAAAACCGGTTAGAATGATGCAATGATTGGTGATTTAGTTGATTAGGATTGATTGTGCGTTTGCTTTTCTGTACAACAAACAAGCTTAGTATCTATTTACGTGTACTTACTGTACAGACTACGTATATTTGTCTAAAATATTAATTTACTGTACTCAGTCAACGTGTTGCTGCAACGGTTAAACATGAAATATCAGTTATTGGATAAATCAGAGGTCTAATTACGTTATGGCAATCAATGATTATCTGGGTTTCTTCATTTGGTAATGATAGATGAGGCGGAAAATCACTCGTTCGTTATCACTGGACGAATCATGACGATTGCATCAATTAGTAGACGGAGGGAGCTAGTTTTTCAATTCATCAATGTGAAAGAGAATCTTATAATGCAATGGAATTAACATTAAAATCGTGAATGAATCAATGTGTTAAACCACCATTGGAAACCTGGTAGAAGTTGACGACCGGCTGATCATCATGGTATGACACTCATCGGCAGTGTACATCCATGATTACTGATACCTGTGAACCACCGAGCCGGAGTCCACGGTGTTGGTGTCTGATTCTGACCGACTATGGTTAACTTTATTCCAGTAAAATATGAAGCAGAAAAGATTGCTTATAGAATTTTATTCTTCATTCATACATGTAAATAAAATACTTTTTATCTTAACTGCGTTCCATCAAATGAAGAATATTGTATTTCTCTTGAAATTCTTAGTATTATTTATTCCTCGCAAGCATTCTTCAAAATATTTGGATTTTGGTAATATACTCTTTCATTCATATGCACAGTTTCAAAGTGCTTGTAGTAAGTAGTTGGTATGATTGCCAAGTTTACACACACCGAAACCAATTTAAACCAGAAATCCAAATATAGTAAAATCGATATTTATTGATTGGAAGTTGCTTGATATCAATGTAATATCACGTGATCAGCCAGAGAGAAAGCACAATCACACGAAACGATCAATAAGGCCACACACAGGGTTGGCGAGATTGGCGCTTGAATTATAACTTCAAGTATAGATAAACAAAAGGTGTACAATTAAAAAACAGTTATTGTTAAACACATTCAATAAATAAAGTATTTATTTATATGTCAGCAAAATCTTCACCACATTAATTCCACTACATATTCATTCGATTGAATCTTTTTTGCATAGTTCATACAGTAAAGAAAAATTATCCAAACAATTATTAACAAGAATGACCATATATTCAAAACAACAATGCCATTGCTTATGGTATGTTGTTGTGACCAACTATAATTCACTCGTTTTACATATAAATTATAAGCCATAATTTGTACATCATTCCATTTGAGTAAATATTTTGTTTTATTAAAAAAAGTAATATTTAAGCCTAAATTGTTTGATTTACAATAATATGTTCCGACATCATTTCTTTGAAGTAATTGAAATATTAAATCACAACTATTAGCAGCTTGACACATGGAATTTTGTCTTTTTCTTCTCATTTTCTGTTGAAATTTCTCATTGGATGATTTCCAATATAGACCGTAATTCTGTAATTCAGGATCTAATTGTTTGATTTTATCAAAATCACATTTCAATACAACATGTTTTTCATATTCCATGAAGAATATATTTTGCATTTCTTTATAATAAAAAATATCATGCTGAATAGTACTAATTACAGTTGGTTTCATTTGATATATATGATATTTTTCTCCACTTATATTCTCAAATCTCTTTACATCGAATCGAACACACATAAGATCATAATAGACACTTGCATGTCTACCACGTTTTAGGTTTTGGATGGTCCTTATCTCCAATTGTTGTATCAATTCGTATTCACATGGTACCAGGAAGTAACCATTGTCAACGTATAAATGGAATCCAAGACGTTTAGCTTTTCTCATAGCTAATTGTTTTGCGCCTTCAAGTCCTATATTGTACAAGGTTACTAAACGCGCAAATGGTAACGTATATAGTTTAACATGATACATAAAACAATTTTTACAGCGTTGACTTATAATGTGCTGTGATATATTCTGATAACACCGTCTATAATAATGAATCCACTGTCTGCCACACTGTCTTATATTACCACCTTCAATATGTTCTTTATATGTGATGATTGTCCAAGTGTAATCTCTAGTTTGAACATCTGCCAGTCGATTTAGAAAATAGTCTACTCTATCTTTTACAGTATATAACTCATGCAGATTAGAAACTCTGTTCAATTGAAAAGAAATATCTGGAATTTTATATTCAATGGATTTTGACTTGAATGATTCAATGTAATAAACATGATTATAAATATAATTGGCTGGATGAAGTTGAATTCCTCGACGTTTACAGATATAAGTAGCCGTATTATAAAGAACATAAACATCTCGTCCGACCATTTGTAAATCACGTCTAGTGACACATAGATCTGTACGCTGACGATTTGCAAGTGCTCTTAATCGTGAATACGAGGTGTCCAAATAATCTTCAAAAACAGTTTGTGTCTGGAAAACAAATAATCCAGATCTTTTTTTAGGCACTATGAAAAACCATTCAAAACTCGATGTATGCTCACCTGGACATACTGGACAGGTTAAACTAAATGAAGCCTGTACCTCACTTGGATTAAGTAGTATGTATTTATGACGTTGATACGAAATCCATTCACGTAGAACTGAACAATTTGTAGGATGTTTCACTATAGGTACTTCAAAAGTGCACCATTGCAGATTATAAGCACTGATGTAAAATAATTTCAGTAAAATTAGAAAGTTAATTATTGCATAATTATTAGCTAAGTACATTTTTATGAAATTAACTATTAGCATATTGCCTATCACATCACCAGTTGTTTCATACTACTACGCCGCATACCATACCATACCATACCATACCATACCATACATATAGAAGAAATAGTCATTGCTTTTTTCTGTTCACATTTTTATATTCATACTTCCTGTTAATCACATGATTTATCGACAGGTAAGAAAAGAAAAAA